GTCAAAACTCTCCTTTATTGAGAATGGCAAGATCAGTAAATCGTGTTAACATAGATCTGTTTCAGCATTCTTTCTATGCAACTAAAAAACTGCTCTTTACTGCAGTTGGTGTGTTGCCTCGAGCGTTCATTTGATATATGATATATTTATATCACCTAGTCTTAGTTTTAGTTTTTTCCTTTTGATTCACTTTTGTACCATTAATATTAATTCATTATTATTATTGTGAACTGTAATTTTATTTGTATACAATTGGTTGTTTATGGTACAGTGTTATTGGGTTCGACCTGTTTCTGTACCCACATGAGATAAATAAATAAATAATTATTACACATCAGGTAAAAATGAGCAGTGCCTTTACACTCATCAAATGTGACGGGATTATACTTTGTCCGTTTTAAAAATAATAATGCATTGTACTTTGCTGTAATGCACTTTTGCTCAGTGTTCGACTGGCTAATTTCACATTCATGCTTGTTGTTCATGATTGTCGTAATATTGTATGTGTTTCGTTCTAATTTTGGTAGCTAAGTGTAAGCTTTCTTTTAATTGAATTTTATTTAAGTCTATAAGTAGGCCTTTATCACCCAGTGTGTTCCTCATAAGCTTTATCATGTGACAAGCATAAAAAAATACATAAATGTTCTTGTTTGTGATAGGGTGCTGGATCCAGGGTTTAAAATTATTGGAAGAAAAATTAAAATTGGCCCCCATATTGTTACACATAGATAAATTAACTGATGCCCCGTCGAAGGTAATTGATCTAACATGCGCACCAGTCTCACCAGAAATTGGCTCTTTCTGAGCCGGCAAAGCCTTTAATTAGAAAATACGCCACTGGAACCTTCCATCCGGCGTTCACACAGACCGCCATAAAAACCAAGGCATTTTTTTGCTAATTGAATATTGTCACTGTCCTGATTTGAAATGCTACTTTGTTACGCGCTGAAAACCTTAGGCGTGACAAAATTAGAAGCTAAGTCTCGATAGTTTAGTCTTATAGATTGGGTCGTGAGAGAGCGATCCAAACAGAGTGAGAAAACAAAATATGTATACATAGTAAAAGGGCGCCACCAAGCTGTACCTTTTTCACTTCCAAAATAGTAAATTTAACACGTTGAACTTGGAAACGTATAAAATATTTAAACGGGTAATATGAGCCACGAACAAATTAAATGGGGAGAACTACTGCAATAATACAAAAAAAATGTAATAAATCAATACAATAATTCAGAAAAAAAGAAATATATAACATTCAAAAATTATAATAAATTTATGTGTATACTGTTGAGACACAATATCTCATAGAGAGAGAAAAAAAAAAATCAAACGTAGATTAAAAATTAATTTCAAGTCATATACAGGGTATGAACATGGTTAAAGAATGTCTTACTTCAATTCTCCCAAAAATATCAAAATGATATTAATAAAGTTTCAAAGTTTAAAAGAATTATATATATGACAGTGAACGTAAGACATAGATAGCCATCTTTGACTTCAACTGGTCCACAAAACAAATTAAAAAAATCTTGCGAGTCAAGATCACAACTAAGATGAAATAACCTCAAAAATTAACAGACTTAATTACGATTATCTCTCTCTGATATTTAATTTGAATATTTAAAACACAAATTCATTTACATTAGTTATCTCAATAATTGAGATGATTTATGTTTATAATGATATTAATAACTGATATTTATATAAAAAAAATTATCAAAATAGAAAAATTTAAAAAGAAAACTTATCTCACGATGATACCAAAAATCCGTAGCTAGAATTAGTCAATTATCCAGAACCAATTTCATTCCAATTCGCTGTTAGAGGTATGTAGTCCGTTGTGGAAAACCAAATAAAAGGTTAGGTTAGGTTAGCGACATCAGCTGACTGTACCAGATTGTTCTTCGAAATACGACACAAGGCGACCTTCAATTACAAGTTGAACTTGTAACACGCCCCCTCTACCTGAAAGAAGTTTACCTAGTAAACTTAAAACTGAAAACCAAAACGTATCCAACCCAACAGTCGAAAAGACAACTCTAATTAGCCATCAAGTCTTCGGCAAATCGGCCGGAGGAAAAAAAAAGAATAAGCAATAGATAATAGTCACGAAGACGCACCATCAACGTGCGAGTAGTGATCACCTAAACCTAAAATCTTTAATATCGATATTCTCGTGAAGTGAGGATATTTCAAAACAAAAAAAATGACTAGCAGGATAACAAAACAAGGTATACAAAGATAGGTAAGTTAGTGCTGAACCCACGACAAAACGATACCCTAAAGACAAATTCAGCTCAACGTATGGCTGGCGTCTATCGCTCCTATAATTCGAATATAAAAACCAACCTACAAACAAAAAAAGAATAATATCAATTCGAACGCAAAACAAAAACCCCTACGGTATATCGCTATTACTATCATAAAACAGAACAACAATGGCTAAACGGCCACGGTAATTTTTTGTGGTACTAGTTCAGAAAAATAGGGGAGGGCAATGAAGTTAAACTAAGGGATGTACCACACCAACAGGGAAATAGTCAGACCAATACTATCCATAACATCTATGGAATAGCACGAAAGAAAAGAAAAGCAACTTAAAGCACTTTTGCAAACTTGTTGACTGTTATAACATGTGGTTATAAAGACATTAAACATGGACAGCTGATATTGATCAAGAAACCACAAGTCTATTCAAACAACAAAAACGAACAATGTATACATGCACATATGTCCAGTTGGTGATTGAAATTAAACTGTTGTAACAAGCAATCACAACCAGAGATCTTCCCTCACGAGATTCCAAAAGAGGAAAGAAACACCAAAAAATATAAGATGGTAAGTTATTACACCGAAAAATTAAGAAAAAAAAATTAACAACAAATTTTGATAAAGTGATCCACTGTGGCATTTACCTTACAATCTAATTTATAAAGTTTTTTATAAGTTTTCATCTTTTATGAAATGACAGAGGACTAAATACATTAAATGTTTAACAATCTTTTGGAAAATTTCTGAGTGTATAGGACAAACATCTTGAGGAAAATCTGTGTAGGATATGTGGGAAAGGATATTGGGAAGATGGATAATATTGGGAATGTTAAGGAAAAATGATCGACAGAATATTAAGGAGGGCGGCAGTGGAGTTACTGAAAACTTGCGCTGCAAGCTTTACTTTCATCTTCTGACGATTAGTGGGGTTTACGTGGGAATATGTAAGCTTGGTTGCTCTGAATATCCCACTTTTCCCATCCAATTCATACAGCCGATGAATGTCACTCCACTTCACCATTTTCCCTTCAAATACAATATCTTTGGTCAACAAATTATTCCTCATGCTTTTCAGCATATGAGGGACATTAAAAAGATGAATAATTTGGTGGCCATCAATATTGTATACGAATTGATCACCTTCCTTACCAGATTCTGCCGAAAGCCTACGCAAGGCAGTTACATTCCACGAGCCACCATCGCATACAGATGCTACGATGCGAAAATCTGTTTGTTCATGAACAGCTCGTACAACTTCCTTGATCAATAATCTTAGTGCATACTGATTCGCAGCATTACGGGTAAAATAGAAAGCAACAGGTTGCTTCCATTTTTTCGCTATACCACGAATCATAAACACCAAAACATGATCAGCAAGATTTTGACTCCTTTCTGTTCCTGCCTCTACAAACCCTTCAACATGCCAACTATTCCCAGTTACTGCCAGACTTAAATTTTTTCCAATGTCCATTTCGTCAAACATAAGCGTGCAGTATCGATCATGGAGAGGCATTTTATTTGAAATACTCTTGAGGTAAGACAATAAATTTTTGTGATATTGAAGTTTGCCAGTGAACGTCTCAATGTCCTTGTTGGCGGCAGACAGAGAATATTTTGTAAGTAGCGGTAGGAACGGGGATCATGTTTAAAGATTGACAGGAATAGAGCTTTCTCTTCAAGGGTATAACGTCGGGTTTTTTTGGACTTATGAAAATTTCGAAGGAGGGAAAGGACAAAAACGCGGAGAGCTCTTGGTAGAGAATGTATGTGTTAGCTATTGGTGAGGGTAGATGGGGAAAGAAGATTTACATTGCTGTTTTTGTAGGATTGTTTGCTACGATACCGCAAAATACTCTCTGCCTTGCTCAACCTCGCGAACAGCTTCTGTTCCTTCAAAGATAAATTTCTTCTCCTACTGGCGCCCACTTCACGAAGCGTTGTACGACCTGAAAATTATATCTCGTTAATTCACAATTTGTTCTTACATACTCTTACATACTCTCATTTGATTCGACTAACAACAGGCTGTAGTTAATCATAATGTATTAAATATTTACCTTCACACCCACTCGGGCGAAAAATTGGAGTCTTGGATTCAGAAAACATATTGGGACTAGAATTGGAAGGAGTATTGGGGGTAGAATTCGAAGCAGTATTAGGGGTAGAATTGGAAGGAGTATTGGAAGTAGAACTGGAAGAACTATTTAAGTGAATATTAGAAGGAGTATTACAAGTATTGGAAGGAGTATTGGGATGAATATTGTCTTCTGAATCCGCAACACGATGTGGAAATTGGTTTCGGCACAATTTCTCCCTCGATGCTGTTTGAAATTGGTTCGTATAAAAATGGCGTTCACAAACACGCATTTTTTTCGTCAATAATTGTTGATATGACATATCTAAAAGGTCGTATCGCCCCAATACCTCCAACCATTGCCGTCGCAGACTGTCTGTTCTTGGCAAATAGAACACTCGTCGTTGTCCTGACGGCAATGCATTCGTTGGACACGTTGTCTCCACACATTTCTGCAAATGAGGATTTATGAAAGAATTATTACTTTTTTGTAGTGGAAATACGAGGCTTGTCCGGAAAATAAGTACCTTTTTCCACTGTACTTCATGAGATTATCACAAAACGATTAAATTAACGGAAATTGAGTTCCCGTTGGGTGATGAATTATGATGAATGTTATGATTTCTAGATATTTGGCCACCGGTGATAGTATGGTGTCATTGACCTACTTATTTCGAATAGGTATGTGTAAAATTTCTTCTTGAAGCCAGCTTTGTATTACGAACTTCTAGGAAAAAGCACTGTCCCATACATTATAATGGAAGTGTGCACGGCCATATGGAAGCGATTATCAAACATGGTAATAAAACCATTGACAAAGGACAATTTCCGAGAAATTGCAAAGGATTTTGAAGAAAAGTGGAACTTTCCCCACTGCATTGGGGCTCTTGATGGCAAACATGTATTAATACAGGTTTGCATATCGATTAAAACCATCTATTAATATGTTAATGTAAACAATTATATTATTGTAGGCTTTTCCGAATAGTGGTTCTGAGAACTTTAATTATAAGGGAACTCATAGTTTAGTTCTCTTAGCGCTATGCGATGCTAACTACAATTTTACAGTTGTGGATATTGGAGCTTCAGGTCGTCAAAGTGATGGTGGTATTTTGAAAAATTCAAAATTTGGTAGTGCATTGGCAACAAATATGTTGCCAATTCCCCCAAAGGAAGTTCTGTCGGGTTGTACAACACCGATGCCATACGTAATCGTAGCTGATGAAGCATTCCCACTTACGAATTACCTAATGAGAGCATACCCTGGGAAAAGAGGACCGTTAGAACATAAAAAGGAAAATTTTAATTTCCGATTATCACGGGCACGAAGGGTGATTGAAAATTGCTTTGGCATTATGTCAGCTCGGTTTAGAATATATCGGAAACCAATTTTATGTAATCGAGCAGGAGTTATCAGTATTATTCAAGCAACGGTGTGTCTCCACAATTATTTAAATAAATATTGTTCACGAAATATTTCGGGTAGCAATAATCGTGTGAATGCTTATAAGGAAATTACACGAACTGGAAGTAACACATATTCCCGTTCAGCTGAAAACATAAGAAATGAGTTTGCGGAGTATTTTTTAAAATACCCGATAGAACATGTCGAATAAAATATCATAATAAATTAATTATAAAAACACAGTTTAGCCGTTTTTCTTTCCTTAACTTTTTATATTATTTAAAAAGTATAATATTGTATTATAATAAAGTATAAGTATATTATAAGCGATATAGTTTGTTACGGTTCAATTTTTGTTTCCTTTCGGTACTTTGAATTTTGTTCGGGATTTATGTTATTTGTTTCTCTTTTCTTTATGTTGGAGGGAAATTTGGGTTGCATATTTGCGGGTTTTGATATATTTGTGTTTATTTGAATTAATTGTTTTGATTTTTGTTTATTTTGATTTCTTTTTCAGCAACGATCTCGATTCCTAAACTCCCCAAATCCCTTTAATCCTTTCAGATAATTTTCTTTTCCTTTTTCTTGATTTCTTTTCTTCGTTTTTCGTTCTGTTTTGGATGCGTATTGAGAGCGCAGGTGTAATTTTGTTTGGCCCTTTAAATTTTATTTTAAAAGCATTGTCGCTTACATCTGGAGCCTCTCTTTCTGGTGTAACCAGTGACTATACACTGTGGTGCAAGGTGATTCAGGCATGTTGGGTTCTCGCCATTTTTGGGTTTTGAAAAATTTTGCCTTTTCGTGAATTTTCGGATTCATCACCACTGCATATCTTTTGAAATCGTGGTTTCACGTTTCAAAACATCGGATTTTTCCGGATATTGGGTGTATTTTCTGTAAAATTCAACTTTCTGGTTTTAAAACCTCAAATATCTGAGGTAAGCGTGCATTTTCTTTTTTCTTTCTTACTTTTCCTATTTTTCTTTACCTTTCATATCATCTTTCATTCTTTCGTCACCTTATTACATTAATTAACCTACTAAACTGATTTCCTATTTGAACCTATTTTGACTCCTAAAATTTTTTTTCTTTTCTAATTTTTTTTATGATCTTCATGCAGGTTTTTAGTGAGAGCCAATTTTCAATATATCAAATTCCAATATTACATCATCAAACCTTTCCTTCTCATCAGAGATCGTTGCTGCTTTAAAAAAAGGTCAGAAATATCTTGTAAAACCATTCAATCATTTGGTATTTACCGGTTTGATACCGAAATATATATTTTTTTGTCTTCTTTCCCTAATTTTTTTTTATGTATCAATTTATTTTATATTTTACGAGTTAATTTTTTTTGTAAATTCGTGTTGGCGAGTTTATTTTTTTTTATTTTTCTTTCGAATTTTTTTTTATATATATATAAATCCGGCTTTAAGTTGAATTCAACGATACGGGGTCGAAGCGCGGGTTCAAATAATATTGCTGATTAGTTTATTTTATTTTTTTTTTATTTCATTATTAATTTATTTTTTTTTTCTCTTATTTTCGCCAACATTAATAACTTTGAGTTCATTGTTTATTATTGTTTGAGTTTACGGTATTTTGAATATTGGAAAGAGACAAGTTTTTTTTTTATTATTATTATTATTATTTGCTTGTACATTTTTTTTTTCTCTTCTTCGTTAATAAACATTATTATTTTTTTCATGCAACTCAAATTTCACCTTTCATTGTTTGTTATTTGTGTGTTCGTTTACAATTTTCCATTTTTTTTTAACATCACGTCACAGTTCGTGGGCCGTACGGGAGTAACTGTGTGGCGCCTTAAAAATGAAACCCTCCCCATCTTCACTGGGCTAGGCGAGGACCCGTACTTGTGCCGTGGAATTTTGTAATCGGTTTTGTATTGTGAATAGCTTTTTTTTTGTCGTTAAGGCGTTACAANAAGTGATATAGTTTATTAATAATTAATCGGGAAATATCCCATATTTACTTTTATAAAATATTTTATGCATCTCAAACATAAAATTATCCTGAGCTTGCTCCGGTAGTTGCATAACTTTTTTCGCCATACTCGCGAAAAACAGTTCAGTGCTGCTCATTTCAGGTGCAGCCGATGTTGTGGGCGGCGGTCTAGATAATTCCGCTCTCAACAGCTCTTCTATGGTATCTTTTGATTCTTAAATAGAAACAAAACTATCTTAGTGCATTTGTAAAATACATAAATCAATCTCATATAAAACTGAGAATTACTTTTTCGTGCAGAAGGTTTTGTACTCTGAGTTGGCAACGGTGGAAGAGGTGTTGGAGCTTCCACCACAATTTCATCGAAATTATTTCGGATAGGACCACTAGGCAATGGATTTTCAGCATTCTCGCACTCATTCTGAATATAAAAATGAATAGGAGTTTCTCCTTGACCGTCTTCATCACCTACAATAAAACAACAATACAACAAATTGTTCGGCCGGGACAATATCTGGCAAGAAAAAATTAGACCATTACTTTCTTGGTAATGGTCCAATTCAGGGATGCCAGATTTTTTATTTTGACAAAAGTTTTCAATGAACAAAAAAGAAAAGGTCATCGGTACAACACATTTTCTTAAAAACAAAAACGGGTTACCAAACCTTTTTTACAACTTAAAAACTGCTGCGGGACCTGTGGCAGCCCTATCGAGATTTCTGGTTCCTAGTTATATAAGATTTAAAAATTGAAAATAATACTTACAACTTGGCGATTCCATTACTAAATTTTTGAAGTGCTTCCTTCTCGTGATAGGTAGTCCATAGTCGAAGGACTTTCATTATCATCCGCGTTCGTTGCATCAAAGTGCATACTTCTTTCCGTACTATAAATATAAATATTACAATTAGAAATACAAAAAAATATTACTCATGAATGCCTCTTACATACTGTCTCCAACATAATTATCTAAATATATAGATATTTAAAAAAAGGCCACTTCTTTGTGGAAGGTTTACCGCTTCCACTAGGCAGTTTTGTTTTCTTTTGTTCTGCAAAATATTTGTATCGCAGCGTTTTCCACTTTTGCATGCATTTCTCGGCTGTAAATAAAAATTAATTATAATGTTATTCTAAATAAATTTTAGATTAGTTATCAAAATATACTTACTAGTACATCCCATGATTTTGGCAATCTCTGCCCACGATAGTAGAGTATTAATGCCGGTTCTGGACCAGGATTAAGGATTTGTAACTAGATTTAGGTTAGCATTCGGAAAGTTACTAGATCTGGTGACTTTCGGTATATTAATGCCGGTTCTGGACCGGAAGTGAATCCTGAATCCTGCTGCTCCTGCGCATAGTGCAACTTAAAGCACCACCTAGCGGTTGGCGCCGGCGGTCACCGAGAGTGGCATCACCTAGCGGGGTACAGTTGGGTGGGGGGGCGTTACCTGATGAGCGACACCCACCAGGCACCATCTATCGCTCATCTGGCAAATTTATCTGGTGACTTTTTTTATTGTGCCACCTAGTGGTTGGTAATCCAAGAGGTTTCTGTACCTGGCGGCGGTCACCGAGAGTGACGTCACCTAGCCGGGGGCATGTTACCTGATGAGCGACACCCATCAGGCAAGAAAACACATTTTATTATCATTTTACAAAGTCGATAAGAACATTTACATTTATTTACTTTCTAACGTTTTTACGATGTCAACACACAGGGGGGTTGGTTTACCTGATGAGCGATAGATGGCGCAGCTTAAAATTTATCTGGTGACTTGCGCCACCTAGTGGTTGGTAACCCAAGAGGTTTATGTACCAGGCGGCGGTCACCGAGAGTGGCGTCACCTAGCCGGGGGGCATGTTACCTGATGAGCGACACCCATCAGGCAAGAAAACACATTTTATTAGCATTTTACAAAGTCGATAAGAACATTTACATTTATTTACTTTCTAACGTTTTTACGAAGTCGACGAGATGCGCTGGATTCCTTTTTCCAACATCTTTTGATCCTTTGAATATCAAGCTCATACCTCCTCTTCCTAGTTCAGTAATTTCACCATCTGTAATCACCACCGACTGACTTTGAGAACGAGTAGATGTATCTACAGGACATTTCTGATGACCTTATATACATTTATGCTTAATCAGCAATTTATTCAACGTATAAATATCTCATAATCGGTTCAATTTAGCATACTTACACTCAGCTTCAACAGTTCGACTGGCAACAACAGAAAAAAATGTCCACACCACCATACACTTTACTGGTTACCAGTACAGACATGGTGAATGTACTAATAAAAGTATTATATGTGGTGTGTAAACATATGTTCTCACGGTAAGTTTCTTTTTCTTTTATTCCTCTATTAATAATTCTGAATTAGGTATGGTTTAAAAAGCGTAACAACGAAGGGAAATTGTGTGATAATTACACTATTGTATACCCCCAAAAATGATATACTGAAGAGAAAGTTTGGAAACCTTCCAGTTCAATATACGAGGCTGGGGGTTGAAAGCGAATCAGAAGTGCACATGTTGGCATGAGCACTTCTGATGCACAAGTATGTATTTGACTTAAGTGTTGATGAGGATGGTCCATTTCCCCAAATTGAATGTCAACAACAACAACAACAAGAAAGCAACGAAGATGTGGAAGAGGAACGAATTGTTAAAAAGAGGAAATCCATCCCGTTTCCTGACGACGACGACGATGATGACTTTCAGACTTGTTGTAGTAAAGTAATAGATGTATATGAGCAGTGTGATATGAAAAACTTTTTAAAAAATAGAAATTGATAATAAAAACATAATAAAACAAAATTTTTTTTCATCATTTCCGGACACCTGTATAACAAATGTACATTCATTAAAGAACAATTTAATGAATTAATAGAATGATCATTACGGTAATAGTTAACTGAACTTTTATTTACGCACCTCTTCAAAATTTCTGTACATCTATTATAATATTTTCTGAAACAATTTTCTTTAATCGATTTTTAAGTTGTAACTATACCTATAGAGTGTAATATTACAACAGTAGTCTCACATATAATTTTCACATTAATCATACATCTTACCTGCAGTTAACGTCTGAAAGCAATGGAAAAATTGCTACTTGTACGGATAAAGTAGGTAATAAATCTTTATTTACTAAGGTGATATGTTTAATTATGTTAATTGTCTTTATTAATTTCAGCCACCTGGCCGTCTTCAGAAGACCTCTATAAGTACAAAATATT